AGATGCATGTGACATATGGACAATTGTTTATTCAGATAGTGCCCAGTGTGTTCAGAAACATACCTGACTGGCCAGTTTTTTGTTTGTTCAATGCAATTAACAACAATTCAGTTTAGACAAAGAGCAAGATCAGCAATAGGACAATATAAAATATGCCAATAATGAAATAAACCATGACAAAATTCAGACTGTGCCAAGAAATCATTTCAAACTTTGTATTTTTATGTATGATTTGTCATAAGGTGTCTTTCACATTTCATACTACTGCTGTGTACTGAGTGCCAAAACTTGCTAGTACTGAGACAAAAACAATTTCACTGCTTCCATTAAGACAAACAGTAAACTATAAATTTAAAAAAATATATATATTTCTGCAAAATAAATAGATAAATAAACAGCTTAACTGATCAACATAGTTTAAAGTGTTGTTATGCACCGATTATGCAACACTTCCCATCAAGCAGGTTCTATTAAAATCCAATCCTTTAATATTTCCACTTTGTAGAATAGTTTTAGAATTGAGCATGTGCATATGCTGTATCACCCTTTCAAAATGTATGCAGTCCATTCAAATTTCTTAATGCAGTAATAGATAAATTATTTATTAAACCGTAGCATTAACACAGCCAAGTTTCCTGATGAAGTTTTAATCTGACATAGAAGCTACATTTTCAGAGCTAAACAAGTGAAATGAAAGTAAATAAATACTGGGCATCCTGTATTAAGATGCAACATGGAAAATACTACAAGCAGTCACGCCACACTCCGACTGATAGCAGAAACACTGCACTTCTTTCAAGTGCCATATTTTCCACGAAACTGCACCCAACCTGGTAGAACTCCAAAATTATGTAAAACGTAAACAATTTGCTAAATATATTTCACTTTTACAGCGAATTATTTTTAGCAGCTTAGAAGCTGCTCAAATATGAAATGCATAAACTAAACACTGACTGCCATTAAGTTGTTGTATAGTTCACATGACATTTCTTACAGTGCCCATGCCAGTAAATGGGCCCCAAACCTGGAATGATACTGCCACACTGCACTAAAACCTTAAGATGATTAGTGATATTCTTAAAACCTAGCCCACTGATAATGTGTTTAAAGAAGCGATACGGCTTTTCCAAGCTTTGAGTTCAAAGTCTTAGAAGCATGGGGTCAGAATGCCAATGGGCTAAACAAAGAGTAGCCAAAATGGGCTTTGGGGGATTTGAAACTTAGGCCCCTGAACCTCTTTGATCAAAACAGAGCTACGGCCATAGAAATACTAAGTATCAAGTGCCTGGAACGGTGCTTCCAAAGAATGGTGAGTTTGGCATGTAGAATGAGACACTAGATGGTCAATAAGAGCTAGACATAATACTGATATAGTATAGCAGGAAGCTAAAAAGTATGAAAATGCATTATAATACTCAGGGTTCCATCCAATGAACAACATTGAGGTAGTTTCTCAAAGCTGGTTCTCTAGATGAAGCCAGATGGCCCTCAGCACCGATGGGTGCCAATACTAACCTTAAGATTCCTAAACCAACATTATGAATATATTTTGACATTTCTATATCAAGTTGTACTGTATGAGTGGCAACACACTTTATTCTAAAACGAGAAAGACAAAGAAGGTTTCTGAGTGTGGCCTATAATTGTTTAGATATGTCAATCAATTTCAGCTAAAATGTTTGGATAATCCCTTTTTAAATTCTATTTTAATGACATATAAGGATTAAATCAGGTAGCAAAAGTCTTGTTCTCCACCATCTGTTTTAAGGATGTTATGTGTGATAACTCTGGAAATATTCAACTAGCTAATTAGTTCTACTTTGACTCTCAGCAAGTGTCCTGTTTTAGTCAATGTGCTTGATGATATGAACAGATTTTCTCATCTTGAGCAGCCTTGAGCAATTAAGTAAGCATGTTTTCATCTTATTCTAATAAATGCATTAAGTCCAAGAGAACCCAACTGTGTTATTATTACCAAATTGACATTTCCTAACAATATAACCTGACCAAATGTACAGTGCGATTAATATTTTTTCCCTTGATGTCAAGGTACCTGAAGAGGTTAAATAAAAATGGGCAAATAATCTAAAATCATAATCAATCAAAAACTCAATTACGCGTGTTTATTATCATCCTGTCAGTTATAGTGAAACACCTTTATGCTGCTACATCAACAACTGATTAGTGCTGGAGACAGCCATAATGACAAATAGAACATATGATGGAGAAGACGATTAAACAGAGAATTTCAATTAGCCTGTGTGAGGTCTTTGAATATTCTCTCATAGCACTGGTGGTTAACACTTATCACGCTGTTTCCAGTCCACATTAAGGGTGCATGGTGAGTCATACAGTGTGACTGGTGTACCACAACAACAACACACACTGTAGTCAAGCTGAACTGTCTACGATCACAACTGAAGAACATAAAAGTCTACGTATGTTCGTAATACGCATAGTTGTAATACGTCGTGTAAGTGTCATTGATTACTATCACTGTATATATGGCATGCTCTATTTCTATTAATTGTGGTATCAGACATATTACTATTTGGTATGATGGTATGTGGTATGGTATGTGCAGCATCACTTTTCTGTAAGCCTATCAGCTGGGGTTTTCATGAATTTCAACACTTACCTTTATTGCCTTCTTTAGACATTTGTAGCATTCAAGCATTTTTAGCTGTAGAATAACACAACTAATCAGAACAAGTTTCATAAAATACATTTGTTGCAGAGAGCAGGGGAAGCAAGGCAATTGGGATGCAACTAATGATTGTTTTTATTATTGGTTAATTTATTGTTTGGTCAATAAAACATCAGAAATAGTGACAATTGGGGATCACTTCTTAGAACCCAAGGTGGGGTCATTATCTTTATGTCAGACCAACAGTTCCAAAAACCCAAAGAGATTCCATTTACTACTAAATAAGACAAGAAAAGCAACAAATTATCATATTTTAGAGGCTGAAACCATCAAATGTATGGCATTGTAACTTGAAAACTGCTCTAGCTTTCATTCAATATTAGAAAATAGTAAAAAGTAAAATAAATAGCTTGTAACTTAAGTCAACCAACCTTGGACGTTTGTTATCACCTTCTTTAAACAGAACTTCATTCTCGCTTTCTTCTCTGACCTATCCAATAAATCCAAATCAGAAAAGCACAATCACAATGAAATTGAAATATCAAAAGTTCTATTTTGCATCTTTCTTCTCCTGAGGTCATGCCTTCTACTAACAACATGTATTTAAACGGATCATTTAGGATGTCTTATTAAATATTCATAATCAACAAATAATCTGTTGAATTATTAGCAGTCTATTAGCAGTGGCAGATCCCTCCTGATGACAGAAAGTGATGGGACACACAACATATAATGGGCATCTTTTTTTAATTGTAAAAATGTTCTCTTTTTTAAGGTGACAGGGCCATTACTCCAAAGTCACCACTTATCAGCAGTATCACTGAGGATTAATGGTTTCACTTGTGCTCGTAAGAAATGTTTAAGTTGTCCCGATTATCAGTGCAAGAAAAAGAATAATGGTTATTTGTCATTGTGTTAAGCAGTGAGAGAGACTAATCTAACAAAACACTCAGTTAAGAATGTAATTAACCCTTTCTAGTTAGGCTGAATGGGATGCGTGTTGGACTGTGCACAGCAGTTAAGCCACTGTCTAAAATGAATGCTTGCTTACTGAATAGCTGTGTCAAACTCAAAAATCAGCAGATATAATATTCTGTGTACGAGGTATTGTATTTAAGATTCTAAAATGACTAGGCTGAAAAGGCTAAGGCTAAATTAGAACAGGGTATCTACTCTCACAAAAGGAGAAATCTAACCTTGCACATGGTTTATATCTCTTGAAGATTCAATGTATTATTGTCAACATTAATCCCATAAATTTGGTGCATAATTCAGCCGGCTACTGGGTACAATGACAGTGACCTACAGGCCAGAAGATGAACATGGTTTCCTCTTTAAACACAACATAGGATCAAATTATATAAAGCTTGGAATGGAGAATCAAGGACTTGAAGTCAATCAATAACCAGCAATAACAAGCACAGTCAAAGAGGAACCAACCTAAAAGAGACAAAAGCATGCTGAGAGGTGAAACTAAAATGTTACAGTAAATATTACACTAGCATAATACCCAATACATGCAATGATCTCATGGCTAAACATTTACTTAATATGACACAAAATGAAAGAAAGAAATAGGGAATTACAACGACAAATTGAAGATTTAGATTTTAAATTTAAATTGAGACTAATAGTTTGTTTGCAACAACAGCAATTACCACCACCAATAGCTGCCATACTACCCATTTAACACATTTGTCTCGTGAAGGATTTCTTTTTCCAGCGGTACAGTCCCTGAAGCTTTTGTACTGGTTGTGCAGGCTTGTTCCTGCTCCAGTAATCTCCTACATTATTTTCCTTGTCTGTCACCTTTATAGTATCTATTAGCCACTCTCTACTATCTGTTTGTGGGGCATTTTCTCTTCCTTTTCCCCATGAATGTTTTATATATTGGAGGGAGAATGATTGTTCTTTGCAATGAGGCCAGCGCGTGGCCTCAGTAAGACAAATTGCTCCAGAACGTCTAAATGGCAGTCAATGATAACTCATTGTAAGGAGAGTAAGTGACTTCCAATGGAGTGGATAGGGGACAGAGAATAATGGCAGAGCACAGGTGAAAAATAGATGTTTGGCTCGGTGTAATTACTCCATTAGGGGGCTCTCTGTTAATCTACCAAACCACAGCAAGTGTTTTTACAGCAATGAGGAGGTGACGGGCAAAAATGACTGCAACTGGACAGAGAGGAGCCCCGCTACCTCCCCAATCACAACACACACTATGAAGTGTTTACTAATGGACAAATGTACTCTCAGTCTGTGCTCTGTGCAGCATCCCACGAGCTACTCCAGTTACAAGTAAGTGTGGTGGTAGATGTATTGACGAAGTTCATCATTGAGCTGACATATTAATTACCTGCAATATGGTCCCATGCGTTCAGAGTGCTTTAACCTCCTCTGTCTCAATTGTGTACTGGGGGATGGATCAGCTGTGGGCCTGTTAAACATGAAAATCTGGGTTAGAACAAAAAAAAAAAAAAAAAAAAGGGACAAAGGAAAACCCACCCGCTGGAAATCAACACCCCCATTCTGCTGATTTCCAGACAAACATAATGATAACAATTTTTTGACCATTTGGTGTCTGCTGCTTCCGCCTGTGGCAATCTAGACAAAGGAAGCCTGGGAAAAAAAGGCTCCAATATGGTCTTAAGAGTTTACTCTGACCACACAATCTGTTTTCTTAAGTCAACTTTTAAAACACTGCTATGAGCGGTGCCCACAGCTTTATCACTGAAGCTCAGATTGACCTTGTATTCACCTTTATACTATTTCCCATCTGTTTAGGTTCCACCCTAGAATCCATCCCAGTTGGCTGTAGGCCCACTTTGCATTGGGCTTTCTCAGTGGAACCCTGAATAAAACCCTGTAGGAGCAAAAGACTCTCTGTTCGGCCTATTTCAGAGAAATTTCAGCTCGCATCTAAGCATTTCTTTCGACACCCGACAAGCCTACTTGGACTTCTCAGGCTGTCTCCCCCATGTGCAACATAAAGAAACCCCAGCAAGTGTAAGAGATTTACCCTTCTTTTTACTGTAGCTTTTCACTTGACTTTAATAAGTACTCTCCTCGAGCATGGCAGAGTTAACATGAGGGTCAGAATAATGTGTTCGATTCTGCAGTTTATTCTTTAAAATGGTAACTCGTGACCACCATGTAGAGGCTGATAAGGAAAACACCCAAGTGAACAATAAGTGACTGAATTATCAGAAGTCCATTCTTGTTTCTTTTCTCTTTACTCTTTATACTCTTTCATTTAACTTATAGTACAGTTACAAGTGAATTAAGGCTGCACACATTTATTTACATCCTTGGTTTGAGGCTCTGCTGATAAAAAATCCTCACTGTAGCTCATTAGAGGGGCAAGCTGACCTTCAACTAGATTAGAAAAAAAAAAACGTTGAAAGCTATCAGCAGGCAGGTGTACATGGCTCAAAACACAGACAAAGGCACCAATAGGGGAAAATACAAGGCGTCCAGCTGGACAATTTTCACTGCCCCAAAAGCTACAGGTTGCGGTAAGGGGACTTCAAATGCTAAGGACAGTGAGAGGTGCCATTATCACTCAGTGCTGAAAACGAGCACGGTGACCCGATTAAAGCGAGAATTTCTGGGTCACGGTCTTGTTTTTCAATGCTTAATTTGTCTATCGATAGTGACACGGTCCGTGGCTTGCACCTACCTGTAATATTATCTTTCTAAAAGTCGTGGTTCAGACAGGGCCCTTGTCACAGTAACCCAACGCGGAGGAGTGGGTGAGCGGATTGGCCTGCAGCGTGTTGCAGGGAGGAAGCGCTGGCTGGTTGGCTGTGGAAGTTGCGGGCTGCGGCGCCGCTCAGTGGACGCTCCGGTTTCAGGAGCTCCTCTCCTCCACTGTGGAGCTCTTCCGTCACGGCAGCCTTCCGAGCATGCAAGAAAATATTCAAACTCTCTCTTTTTTTTTTTTTTTCCCCTTTTTAGAAAATAAGTTTTGAAACTTAAACTTTTTTTGGAATGAATTGAGTTATTAATTTAATTTCTTTGCAGGTCCTAAGTGTTTTGAAGTTTTGGAGGAAATATTAGGATATATTATTATCAAAAAATAGTATTTGTATTTATATAATATTCCCTGCTGTGCAGTCAAGACATTTTTCATCCACACTGCGTTAGGTGAGTATCCTTAGATAGATAGATAGATAGATAGATAGAAAAAAAAAACTTGCAATCTAATTCTATGTAATGCTGATGGCTAAACCTTTATTGATAAATTAGTCAGTTCTAGACAATTAGAGGTTGGTCGAGAGGCTTCATGGGTTTTATGTCTGTCTGTCCACCTCACTTGAGGATGAGAGTAGTTGTTCATACCTTCACTCTGTAACTTTGATCCATACAGTCTGCTCTGTATTTTGTGAATATAGTGTGATAACAGTTGGACCTACGTGCATGTACCATCTCCTAAAGACCAATCTAAAATTTGACTTCCGTCTGTGAGATAAGAAATATATATATATATATATATATATAGCCTACATAAAATTCAAGCACTAGTTTTGTCTTAAGTTGCACTAAGAATGCCAATAAATATGCAGGAGAACTATACACATTATATTTCACCTGAGCTGAAAGTGGTTAGCTTGTTTCGGTGGCCTTTGGTGTACAGCAACAAACAAGTTCATAGTGTCTGTGGTCCAGCCTTCTCAGGGCTTCCTTTGCATCAGACGCACTGCCCTTCATCTCATGCTAATGTAGTACAAAAAAGATATCTAGCTTTAAAGACATGGCAGTCAGTTAAAAAAAGGCTGTGCTTAGTGTTTGAAGCCATAAATGTGACAGAAGACTTCAAGAGGAAGACCCAAGACTGGCAGTCTAAAGATGAGTGAGAGGCGGACAGGCAACATGTTTTTTTCCCATCCAGAGGGATATTCTGTGGCCAAGCTTGATTATTAGAGATGAAGGACGGGCTGAGAGGATGTGGGATTGTTAAATCCTTGAATCCTTTCACCAAAGCCACCGCCCCCCCACCCATAACATTCTTCTGCACTCCATCTCTGTGCATTTATGGTGCACCCTTGATTTTCCTCTCTTTTCTTTTTACGACTGAAGGAAATTCAGATCCCCTGATGATATGCAAAAAGCAGGAAAAAAATATGGAAATATAATTTGGCACTCTACAGTATCTAAACTTAGGTATTTAGAAATAATATTGTGATATAAATTTCCATTATATGTTCCCAAACCAAATATACCTTGTACAGGACAGCTGAATCCCAGTTGTTGGCAGGAATTCACAGGATCATCCCACAAATCACTAATATAACTAACTAACTATATATCTAGACAGCACTTCAATGGTCTATGGTGTTATGTGAAACCCTGGCTGTGGATTCAAAACCTCTGCTCCCCTTGCTATGAGAGGCTGTGCTTCATTTGATGCCCTGTCCATTATTGCCAGCATATTTGAAAAGTGCTAAGCCTTGAAACGAGTCCCATATTATTTCAGACCGGACTGAATATTTCACGGCAGGAGGCAGAAAATGAGACCTTCCCTCAAGAGACTGCCTGCAGTGCATTCTACTTGGTGCAGCAATCGGAAGGTCTCATACTGTGCAAAACACACTCGAACAAACAATTATATATTTATCTGCCACACTTGTGAGATTTTTCTTTATTTTGTGTGTGTGGTTGTACAGGAAAATGGGAAAGAAATGCAAAATTGAAGGATACTATAACTATGGAGAGTCCTCTAGTTTTGTGCTTGTTAAGATTGGTATCAGCACACACATCAGGGTACAGTGAGTAATCAGCGACCCATAAAATAAGGTGTTTTATCACCACCTTAGGAGCAGGAACACATTCCAGGGAAACTGGAGATCCCTTTGAGTTACACCCAGAGTAAAACAGCACCAGGCTAAAAACAGAAAGCTAACCAGATTGATTCTTGAATCATCCAGTGCCTGCTTGAAATTGGATCCCCGGTCTAGTGAGATTAGCCAACGACATTGTCTGTGTTCTGGTGCATGATTCCATAAATGTGTAACAGAGTAGACGGTGGACTCAGTTTTCTGGTAACAATGCTGTCTTTCGACTGATTCTGTTGAAGCAGCTTCAATGGTAGCGTAGCTTTGGGAAATGCTTGCAGGCACAATATTCATGGGTTCAAGAGCGACAGGACAAGGAAAGTTCCCGAGAAAAGTGTGTTATAGGCACGCACTCAGATAACTGCCCCCTGCATATTTATAATTATTATTACCATTTGAATCATTGTTGCGGTATTATTCTATTCTATTTAAGCAACAATAATAGGAACAATAAAGATATGCATTATGGTCAGAAAGCCAGTCTCTGTGAATGGTGATGCATGATGGGTTCTTTTATCTGACAGAATAAATTTTTTCCTCATTGACATTTCATTTTGATTTTCCACCTTTAAGTTATAAAATTGTTATCTAACACAAAATGAGCGCCCATTACAATTTAAAGTTGACATATAAAATGTGGTTCAATTTTATTTCATTATATTGAACAAACTACTCAATTTGCACCTAAAAGTAGATTTTGCTTCAGGAAAAAAGTCAAACAACAAAGCTTTGCTTAATCATTGAAACTTCAGCTGGCAGTGACCTTTGGGAAGGATCCATATCTCTGTTCCTGGAAGAAATGATGTGGATGGCAAGCAGTTGTGTCCTTTGTGTTTTGTGAAGATATTGAGTGTTTGAAGTGTTAACACTGACACTAAGCCTTTGGGGCGAGCAGGCGAAGGAAACATGTCACACAATAGGATGGGACTTGGATCTTTGCTTCCCCTTTTCTGACCTCTGACCATTATTGGTTTTCGGGGTTGCTGCAGCCCCGGCTCCTTAGGGGCAGTGTCTGCCTTGATCATATCATCACAATGTGCAGAAATAGGAGTATTACTTAGCTAATACTTGGACCCTCTTCATACAGAATGTAATTTACTCAAAGCGTTCTTTTATTTCTTTTGTTTAGAGGTTTTCTATTTATCATCAATGTGTGGCTTTGGCTAAAGCCCTTCATTTGAAAATTATGATTTAAAGGCCCAGTGTGTAGGATTTAGTGGCATCTAGCGGTGTAGTTGCAGATTGCAACTCACTCGCTTCACTCTCCCCTTCCAATTATGAGAGAGAAACTACAGTGGCCATGAAATGCGCGAAAAACACAAACAGCCCTATCTAAAGCCAGCTTTTTGTTTGTCTGTTCTGGGCTACTCCATGGAAGGCGACCATTGGCAATAAGCTCAGTCCAAGGTAATGAAAACATAACGATATTCAGTTGATTATACACTAATGAAAACATACTTAGGAATATTATATTCCATTTCTGCCACTGGATCCTATTAAATGTTACACATTGGACCTTTAACTGACTGACTTTCTTAAATCTCATTTAAATGAGACACTGAATCCTGTATGAATGCATATAATTTACTGTACAAACCTTTTGTGAGAGTGCAAAACTAAAATGCTTATTTCAAAGCTTATTTATCCAGCCTGCTTTTATCCTCATCCTGACTTCAAGAGTCTTGGCCATCTATTAGACATTTGCTGTCATGGAAATGACCTTTGTTAATGAATCTTTGAATTTTGGTTGACAATGTTTTTGTGTGATCTCTCCATATTATATGCCTCCAGTAGCGTGGCTGACATAATCCATTGAGGCCACACATAAAACAGTGTGCCATCTGCACCTGGAGCATGGCTATCAGCTCTGTTTTTTTCCCCCCCTCACACTGCCTTTGCTTGAGCTTTCTCCTGCCTGTGTGTAGCCTGACCCTGCTCTTCCCGTTCCAGGCTACAGAAGCCAAACCAAAGGCAGCTTTCAAGGGGGACTGTCTGCTCAAATCAAGTCAGAGGCCTTTTTAGAATCGGTTCAGAGATCATAGCAAGTAGAAGTCAGGGAAGAGGATGACCCTCTCCTCGAGGCTTGATCGGATCTTGGCCCAGTCAAACCCAGCAGGGCTCAGTCTCTGGACAGCTTCGTCTCTGCAGGCTTTGACTCTGTGATAGTGTGAATGAAAGAGGGCACCAAGAGAGCAGCAGTTCTGATGTGTCAGGCTCAATGTCCTGGCAGTCTGGCAGAGCAAAGTGGGTAAAGCAAAGGACACAGCCAGCAGGCACGAGGCCAGAACAAGACCCCTATATTGTGTGACATGTCATCTAATGGCTGTCCTTTTGTTTTAAATTTATGCATATAAGACAAGTTGGGGGCAATGACATAGGTCACAATGTATAAGACAAATAGGCAAATGTAAACAGTCTCTTTTATAGCAGAAAGGAACATTATGTTTAATTGTTGTAAAGTGTAATAGTATTAAAATTTTAAGTTGCTATTAAAAATATAATTACCTCTCCTGATAGACATGATTTATCATAAACCTCTCTTATTTCCATCAGTAATTAGGTTTTATTTGTTCAGCTTCTAAGACCAGGTATTCAACAACACTTTCCTACATGAAAAAAGCAAATTATGATATTTTTTCTGCAGTCTCCTGCTATTTTGTGCAATAGAACAACAATGTCAGATGTCAGAAAACTTTTAAATTCTGTTTACTGTAAACATGGCTACAGATTGGGATAGAGAGAGCTAGTTGGGTCTTGTTGACACACAGGATTATTCACCCTGTGTTTCTGACCCTTCTCTACTTGACTTGGGCTCCCCTCACTCCCACCTCCACAGATCTCAGCATTCATTAAGATTACGTATTTACTTTAAGCCCACCGCCTCTTTGCATAATGGCAAGCAGGTTCCCCGGCTGGCACAGTGTGTTTCAAGTGCTCGGTGAGGATAGGACTGAATTTTAAACACGATGTGTCTTGCCTCGAAGTTGACCTTGCACAAAAAGCCCAGTGATCTCATTCTTCGCTTCAGTAGAAAGCTGCTGATACT